CAACTCTGCCAGCTCTGCTACTCGAGTCTTCTCTCTGCATCACCCATTCCCATGAGGAACTTCTCAGCTTTTCAGGTGGGGAGGATGTGCTAGGGCTAGTCCCCGCTCGGGGAAGGTAGGTAAGGAGAGTCAAAAGGATGCTATGTCATGTTTATTCACGAAGGAGAGAGAAAGGCTCTTTACTTCCATTTGATGGAAGAGGAAGACAGAAGCTGGAGATGAGAGTGACGTGACCAAGAAGGTGTGCTTGGGAGTGATGAAGCGTGGCCCAGAATCTGCATCTCTGGAATTCTTCATGCCAAGGACCTTTCCAGGACACGAAGCCAGGCTTTCTCAACCTTGGCTGTAGTGATGTTCTGGGCTGGATCATTCTTTGCTGTGCACTGCAGGATGTTTAATAGCACCTCTGGCCTCTGTCCTACAGATACTAGGAGCTCCACTCTGACAACCCCAGATGTCTCCAGACATGGTCGCATGTCTCCTGCATCAGCCCTAACTGAGGATACCGTGCTAGACTGTGCCCCTGACCTTGATTCAAATGGAGGCCCAGAGGTCAGAAAAAACTCATGTCCCTTTACAGCCCTGCCTTCCTACAACCCTAAGGTTTACCTGAGACTGGCCCTGCCCATGAGGTCACATGGAGCTGTGTTCAAACACCCAGTGCCACCAGTGTGGCATGAAGTGCTTCACATTTTTGATCACATTTAACCCCCAAAGGTGTATACAACAGTCTCCTGTTTACAGGTGGGGAGACCAAGGCTTGGGGAGCACAGTTTATTCACGGTTACACAGCAGCAAGTGGCAGGCTGGGATACGACCCCATACATGTCTGGCCAGAATTGACCTACTTATTCCCTGCCCTGGCTCTCATAAGCGAGATCGCCTTTCCCTAGGTCATCAGGGAGTACTGACAAGCCTACCAGCTCTTCACTATAAAGGAGCTTCCCAGCCCTCCTAAGGTCGATGTCTTCCCGGTACACAACACACCCACCTGTGCCCTGCCCAGACTGCGGTCCGCGTCCTCAGGCCCTAGGAGTGCTCTTTGCTGAGTGAAGCTGTTCTGGTGCATGTCCACTCGGCAGCAAGGCTTAGACACAGCAGCCAGATCTGGAATATGAACTCCTTTGCTGTGTCCTGTGTCCTGGGTGACCTCTGAGCTCAATTTTCCCATCCATAAAATGGGAAGACCCACTTCTCAGGGTAGGTGTGAGAATTCAATGATAAACACGTATTGGTTTGTGCTGATGCTAGCTACTAGATGAATGTCCAACTCCCTCTGCACAGTTGCCTAGAAAAGGCTTACTTATAAGTCCTGAACCTTTTTCTGGCCAGTCTCTGACCCCATGTTGCCCGTGGAGTTATTCCTCACATGCTGAGACTTCACACTCCATGAGGACAGGGCCTGTTCCTTTCTCTCTTTAGTCAGTGGCCAGCCTGGTATTTTCCTTATACTTTCCTAATATTGGACAGTGCTAAAAGTGATTGCTGAAGAAGCAATTGTATTGATGGTCCCTACTGTTAATTTTTGCATTGGGCCCTGCTTTTTCTGGCTATATCTTCATAGATGAAAGTTTTCCTTGGGTTTTAGCCTGATGATGGTATGTTTGACCCCCCTCCCCCCCAACTCTGAGCAGTTTGGGCTATTAACCTTGTTTCGATTTTGCTTTGGACATTTTCTTTGATTCCTTAGTGGCACAGTGCCTGGTGGTAACATTCCAGCTCATCATATCCAACTTAAGGAGTGAATGAGGGGCTCAGCAGGGCCTGTTACCAATTGCCCCCCCTGCCCAACCAGTTTCCAATGGACCACCAATCAGTCATCGTGGTTTTGTGGGCTTCAGTTTCCTCATCAGAAATTTAAGGATATTAGTAGGATCTGCCTAGAGGGCTTAGGAGAAGTTTAGAAGTGTCTAGAATGTATTGTGCCCTCAATCGTAACTAACAATCTGTAGCCCCTGTCTCTTGGGGGTGTGGGGTGGCCAGGGAGCGGCTCAGAGAGGGGACACTATCACCAGCTTTCCAGCTCTTTAGCAGGAAGTAGGGAGGGCCCTCGCCCCAACTTGTGAGGCTGCAGTGGCTTTGCTGACCCATGTTTTTTCTGCAGGGGTGGTGGCTGGCGTCAGTTACCACCTCCCCGCCCCCCACCCCGTGCCGTGGGAAAGGGGGACCAGAGAACAAGCATAGCCATCCCCGCTGACCCTCAGCACTGGCGGCACGCAGTTCATGTCACCTTCCAAATGAATAAAGTCTGCTCACAAGTCTGTCCTCCTCACAGCACCAGGACACTTGCCCTCCGAGTGAGCAAGCCAGTCCCCCAGTCCCTACTTTATTGATTATTTTTGTCTCTCGTTTTGGTCCGGCTGAAGAAGCCCAGTGCCTCCCCCAGGTTATTTCGAGCCCCCGGAGGGACTGCGGGCCTCCGATCTGCCACTTCTCCGCTAGGCCCCCCAGGGGCGCTCGGTCCCGGCCGGCCCCTCCCCCAAGGTCACCCAACTTTTCCGGGTCCCGCAGCTCCCGGGAGGGCGGGGCGGGGGCCGGGCGGCACCGCCTCCATTGGCCAGAGCCGGGCTGCGGGGCGCGGGTGCTGATGTCAGGCGGCCGCGGGTGCGGCGGGCGCAGCGGCGG